CAGCATGATTCTTGGTAAGCTTTCGACGCTTTCTCGTCTGCAAAGGTGAAGTTCTGCAAGCTTCAAGCTCATTTGAGGCATTCGATGGCAAGGTGCTTTCATTCTCCTCGCAGTAACTAGCACAGTTACCTTTGCATGCGTCGGAGGAAGGCTCCTGATTTTGTCTTTTACGACTTTTTTGAATTGAAGATAGGTTGACATTGCTTGTCAGAAGCTTTCGAGGGGGCTCGGATGGTTCCGGTGACGACGCTGACGTTGTCGAGTCATCCACATAAATGGGGATGGGATCTGCTGATACACGCTCCTCGTCGACGCGTTTCGATTGCTGTGTGGAGTCCCTCGATGAATGTTGCACTTGGGTTCTGACAACAGTCGTGGCGACAACTTCGCACGACGGTCCCTTGCTCGGGCTTGATGCCGCCATCGGACACGAGCTTGTCGCAGAGGATGTCGTCTGTGACCTGGTCACGATATAGTGCGATGACACCTGCCCTTGCTGGAGCTGTCTTCTCCACTCTTCCTCTTGGTGTAAGTCTTCTGCCGGTACCATTCGAGCTTCTTCAGCTAATAGCTGGAGCTCTTGGTACGAGGCTGCCTCTTCAAATGACCTGTCCAGGAAAATCTTTTGAATTCGAGGGAATCGAAGTGCGAAGTATCTGGCACCTGATGGCTTCTCGAATCCACCTCCCAACATCTCAACGACGAACGGTTTCTTGAACACGGTATTCATGTCTGAGAGACTATCGTTCCCAAACTCTATCAGGAAGCCATGGCCTGAATCCAGACTGCAAGCACCGAACTGCCCAACCTGATTGAGAATTTGCATATTTTTCAGGCTCATGGAGTTATGGTCAATCACACCCACAACTTGAAACCTGGGCGCAGCTGCGGACTGGAGGACTGCGTCTTTATTGACCAGACAGCCGATGAAAAAGTGTGTCCAAAATATCTTCGTGGATAAATTCAGTGCAGCAGCATCACGAGAATCATACTTCGCGCCGATTAATGCCAGGTCCACGGTATCACCCAACCCTGGTATATAGTCCTTCTTGAGCTTGATCCAGCGACCAGCGGAGCCGTTCTCTGAACCGGGAAAGATGGAAAAGTAAGGATCTTCACAACCTTTTAAAACGAGACCCTCCCACCTTTCTGTAACGGCCTTCGAGAATATTGATTCGAGACGAGATTGACCATCGGGACGGGAGAATTCGACGATGTGTTGCTCTGCAATGTCCGCATATCCATCTATTACTTTTACAACATCCTTTAGAAGCAGCCGTCGCTCACGATGTGGCTTCCTAAGGCAGACGTCGTCATCGAGAAGCAGAAGGTCGAAGAATACAATCATTAAATGCTCATAAGGTTGTGGTCTAGCGCAGGTCAGCGACGATTAATGCAATGTGGTCGTGCTCCCTCTCCACTTACGGGGAATCATTGTCTATTCCAATGTAGGTGCCTGAGCGAGCAATGAATTTGCGCAACTTATGAAAATCTGCGATCTTGCCTTGATTGTCGCTCCAGACAAGTATTTCACCCTCGAGGATGCACTGGCGAGAGAATTTGCATTCGGGCTTACCGATGTTCAGAGAGTCCCTGATCACAGAGTGGATTCCCGACCTGTCGTCGGTGGAATCCTTGCCACTTTTGGAGAAAATCTGGATGGGATTGAGGCGCTTCGCGAGGTCAATGTGTATTTGACAGTATTCCCCATCGTACTTCCTTTCTACACTCATCCGACGACGGCCGATCATTTGGCAGCAGTGTTTGATACTCCGCGCCTTATAGTACTGGGGCCGCCCTATCTTGGTCCCAATCCCGGGTTTGAGATGCTGTAAAGCCTGCATACACAGATCCTTTGCGAGTTCCGGAATTGGGTTCGGTGGGTAGTGGCTAAGGGGTTCGGAAGCAAGCATTACTAAAGCAGAATCGAAAGAATCCTGGAAAAGCAGCAGATGCGGAAGCAGGAAATGAAAGCTTTTCATCGTGAGCTTGGCCGGCAACACAACCGGATGATAACTCTTAAGTATCATTCGAGTAAGCCATTTTGCGTCTCTACTGCTCATGCGCCGATATAATGGTCTCAGCGTCTCCTCGACATCGACCGCGCTATGCTGCCTTCGCACCCGAGATCCGGAGAACCTGCATCGCGAAGCAATCTTGTTCAATGCCAGGTCTATATCTTCAACAGTAACCTCTTGGCCGCTAATGATGTCGAATTCCGCTTGTCGCATGACATTTTCCACACATTGCCCCAAGTCGGTACCTCCTGCGTCGCGCCATCGCTCGAGCTCCTGGCGTCGATCAGAACCTAGCAGAAGACAACGGCCTATGACCCTTGCAAGATTGCTGCACTGTAGCCAGTAGACTCTGTCCGTTCGTTTCTCTGGAAACATGCATGACAAAAGAGCTATTCGATCCGTGTCAGTAGCATGAATCCGTTTGCCATGTTGGGCAAACCATCGGGTCACGGCACGAGCATCAGGATTCGAGATTTTTGATGCAGTGGAAGCCTTTAAAACTCTGTTACGCTCTAAATCGGAGAGCAAATCGCACAGGTAATTGAACTTGAAGCCCATGAATGGGTACGAGCGATAATCCTCTCGTAGTTGCCGTTGCCAGGACAAAGACCATGAGAGTGGTTCTAGCGTTTGAGCGAGCTTCACAGGATGCGTCACTTGGCAATCCACATGCCCCCCCGGTGATTTCGTGAGATCAGGAAAATTTGCGACGTTATCCTGAGCAAGGAAGAATGACGCGAGGACAAACCGTGAGCGCGTCCATGGATCACGAAAGCACGTGACTATGTACCAGACGCTGAAGAAATGGCGATGGATGCAGGCATAGCCGGACTGTAAAGAAGCTCTTTCCAATCAAATCTACAAGATCGTTATATACCATGTCGGAGGAGCGATATAATCATGCTTTTGGAGGAGAATGATTGCATTTGTCGATGTCAATCGGTTCTAAATAGAGTACATAAGGCGCAGGGCCGTCATAGTCATGCTGATATAAAATAGTTAAACCCAATCAATACCGTCCCAGCTAGCAAGTCAATATCATGCAGATCGCTTAACTCCAGGCTTTTACTCTAAACGTACCAAAGCAAGGAAGGAAAAGGCACATTGAGCAGAAGGATCACAGAATACCCTGTTTTTGCAAACTGTAACATGTTAGCATCGTTTTGCTCCTTGAGGAAAGGGGAAACATACTCCAGGTAGATCCTTTCTGGCATCACATTACCCTCTGCATCCTCCATCTGCACCACGTTATCGCGAGACTCGCGTTCCTTCTTACGATCCTGCTCAAGCTTCTCCCACAACCTGATGGCGTCTTCGATCCGAGTAATTTCTCGGAAGAGATTAGTATTCGACGTGATTCCCAAACACTTCAAGCCGAAAATATGTAACGCTTCTGAAAAGTGCTTGTCGAAAGCGCGGCGACCCATGTAAACAAAGTTGCCGCAAATCTCACAAGGATACTCAACGCCCAGACCGTGGAGCTTGTACAGCCAGTAAGGAATAGGCTTGCCGTCCCATGCCAAAGGCAGCTTGAGTGGGTTGTAAATCCTCTCGTCTCCTTCATCATCAGACTCATCGTTGCGCCCAGGACCGCCAGCGTTTTCATATTCAGCCAGCAAGGCCTCAAGCTCCATCTGCCGCTCGCGTTCAGTCATGCCCTGCCTCCGCTCAACGTTAATACGGGTTGCCTGGCGTTCAGGGTCGAGGACCTTGGCTAGAGAGCGAACGCGGTGCTCGCGCTCAGCAACTGCGCGTTCTTTCAGACGGTGGGCCACAGCGGTGACGCCACCAACTGAGGGTGGTGCACTCGCGCCTGAGTCACCTGCAGCTTTGCGAGCTTCGGCTGCCCGAATGTGCTTCTTGCCAGTCAGGTGATTCTTGTAAACATTTTCGTTCTTGAATTCTCTTTCACAATCCGCACACCAGATGCCTTCCCCCGAGCCCTGTGTCTTTGGGGCCTGGGTGCCGTTCTCAACGCTCTCCTCTGTCCATCCGGGCACTTGCTTTGCTGACCATTGCTTTTCAAAGTCTTCATCAAAGCTTGCGAAAAGTTTGTCGAGGTCCTGTAGAGGCTTTGTGCGTTTGATAAAGCTTTCCAAGTAGCTGGCAAGCTCTCCGACATACTTGAAGTACTTGTCAGATATCTTATTCGCTCGCTTGATAAGGAGGTGTGGCGGTACGAAAGAGTCGAACACGTCGAGATATTGGATGTATGTAACTCGCTTAACTCCAGGAAGGTTCAGATAATCCTCGTGCAACGTTGTGAGATCCAGAAACTGCCCGTAGCCCTCCTCGCCGGTGAACATCGTGTCGATTTCTACTCCCGTCGGTTCGCCCTCACCAGGTTGACGGCGCTTGTAGGCTCTCTCGAGGTTTTCAACCGGCTCATTAGGATAGCGCTTGTGGAAGTCTTTGATCTCGTCGAGCTGCCGGTAAAACTCGTCGAATTGTTCACCAGTGGAGATGGCCTGGATCTCCTTTTCGCGGGCTTTGTCTGCATCTTGGTAGATTTCAAGTAACCTCTTTGACTGCTCTTCTATGCGCGACAAGAAGTGAGCAACCTCATGATCGCGAGCAAGGCGCTCCCGAATCTAAAAAGTAACCAACAATCAGTTCTGATCGATGCAGTAGAAGGACAGACGGGATATCTTACGTTACGAGGTTCTTCAGCGACGCGGTCCGCGATTGCTTGCTCTAACCTCTCGAGATCCTCATGAATAAATCTCTGTTCTTCAAGAACCATGATGGAGATGCCTGCGGAACGATCTTTCCCTTAACAAGTGTGTTATCTTCGATGCTTTGGACGTTATGCGGCAGATTGACGCCGCTCTGAGCTTTGCGGCGAGTATCATCACGTGATCCCGGTCGCGCCGCAAACTCAAGTTGCGCTCACGAATGAGCGACGTTCGTGTCACATATCCAGGCCAACATCAATCGAGCTGATCGCAATTTTTTTTTTACAATCTTCCTGGAACAGACAAAATGGCTGACGGCATTGACCGACGAGCAGATGGTATGCTGATGATCGACCTTATGAAGAGATATGTGCTAACGGCGCAAATTCAGACAGGCTGGAGTTCAGCACCTCGAAGGAGGTCACGGTTGCCCCGACCTTCGAGGATATGCACCTGAAGGAAAGCCTCCTTCGTGGTATTTATGCTTACGGCTACGAATCTCCCTCCGCCGTTCAGTCGCGGGCAATTGTCCAGATTTGCAAGGGTCGTGACACGATCGCTCAAGCGCAGTCCGGTACTGGTAAAACCGCCACATTTTCGATCAGTATCCTGCAAGTTATCGACACTGTCGTGCGCGAGACACAAGGTATGCCACTTAATGCATTTTCTGAAACGAATCGACTCTAATTAGTCTTAGCCCTTGTTCTTTCGCCGACCCGCGAACTTGCGACTCAGATTCAGTCGGTCATTATGGCCTTGGGAGATTACATGAATGTACAGTGCCACGCTTGCATTGGAGGCACAAATATCGGCGAGGACATTCGGAAGCTGGACTACGGCCAGCACGTTGTTTCGGGTACACCAGGCAGAGTCGCGGACATGATCCGTAGACGCCACCTGCGCACTCGACACATCAAGATGCTGGTCCTTGATGAGGCTGACGAACTTCTGAACCGCGGTTTCCGTGAACAAATCTACGACGTCTACCGCTACCTCCCCCCTGCTACACAGGTCGTTGTCGTTTCCGCCACTCTCCCCTACGACGTCCTCGACATGACGACGAAATTCATGACAGACCCCGTCCGCGTTCTGGTCAAGCGTGACGAATTGACCCTGGAAGGCATCAAACAATACTTCATCGCGGTTGAGAAAGAAGAGTGGAAGTTCGATACCCTTTGCGATCTCTACGACACCTTGACCATCACCCAGGCCGTGATCTTCTGCAATACCCGCCGGAAGGTCGACTGGCTGACTGATAAGATGCGCGAAGCCAATTTCACAGTATCCAGCATGCACGGCGAAATGCCCCAAAAGGAGCGCGACAGTATCATGCAAGACTTCCGCCAGGGCAACTCTCGTGTCCTCATCTCCACCGATGTCTGGGCTCGTGGTATCGACGTTCAGCAAGTCTCCCTCGTCATCAACTACGACCTACCCACCAACCGTGAGAACTATATCCACCGTATTGGTCGAAGTGGTCGGTTCGGAAGAAAGGGTGTCGCCATCAACTTCGTCACCAGCGATGACGTGCGGATCCTCCGTGACATTGAATTGTACTACTCTACTCAGATTGATGAGATGCCTATGAATGGTAAATCCCGCGGCCTTCACTCGCTTTTAACTCACGACACAAGGATATACTAACCATTTTCTAGTCGCTGATCTCCTTTCGTAATCGACTCTCATCTTGATTATTACTTCAAAATCTATCACGAAAGACTGCTATCGGTTCCCGAGTCATCTCACTTCCACCGAACACACAACAACGAAGGACTTTAACAGTGTGCCTCGTCACAAAACACCAGGAAGAAAAGAGGCAGAACCAGCGCGGGGGAAAGGGGGAATTTCACAAGAATGGTGAGCTTCATTACCTGTCTTCTAAGTCAGATTCCCAAGCAGGAAAGTGAGAGCTGACGTTATCTATTAACTAGTTCATACAATTTTTTGACGGATATCGGACGCTTTATCAGAAAAATGCCAGTGTTATCTGGTTTCACAACAACCTGTATAACATCATCTCGGGTATTTCCATCTCGGAGTTCAATTTAGTGATTCGGGGATTTTGCTTCCTTAGCTCATTTGGGAATTTGATGTCTAAGAAATAATGCCTAGGTTTTCTGGTGCTTGGATACCATAAAAGTACTCCGTAATTTCGGTGTTATCCTGATTATTGTAATGTTGAGCCCACTGGTCCAGGGATTTGACGAAAACGACAAGGCCGAGCAAAAAGTAAAGAATTGATGGATTTCCTGGATATTTCGTAAAGAAGCCGCCAAGATCTCCAAATACACTCGCCCATCCGTTTCCTGTAGTTCGCCGCAACCACCCCAGTCCTTCGAGCCCATGAGAAAGGAAATCCAAAGAGAAAGCATTGTATGTAAGCTGGTGATGATGTATTCATGTGCAACTGCCGATGACGGAGCAATTCATCAAAATGCTCGCAGCGAATGCAAGAAAAGAATCTGTGATACCAAAACCAGGGCGCCTGCTCCCTATATCATATGAAACCACTGTCAAACTAATGATGTGTATATGCTGTTAAGAGTGAAGAAAATACTGAATCTAGGAATAAAGGGGCGATTCTGTGTCTTTTCGGTGAAGGCTCTTATAAAGTACCCTCTCGTGATGGCCAGCCAGATCTTTGGTATGAAAACAGTTTCGTGAACTGGGTTCCAGGAAGATGTGCTCAGAAGCTTGACGTTGATCGTAGTGCACTCGTGCGTGCAGAGCCATTCACTGGTACTGTCTCCTTTTTACTGGTTGGTGCATATCGCTGCATGTCGCGTTCGCGGGTCCAGCTAGAGCGTTTATTAGACGAGGTCGATAGAAGTGGAAGATGGTATGACTTACATCCTCACCAAGCAGTCATCACCTGCGGATGCAAACATGCCAGGATTTGTAGGATTCCAGGATATTGCATTGACACAACCCGAAATGTGTCCCTCCAATGTTTCTACTAGCGTGCCATTTTCTTTGTGCCATATGTAGACCCGAGAATCTGCAAACGGTCAGTCTGGTACAGGCGTCTGAAGGGGAGTAAAAGACACACCTTCACTGCCACTCACAACAAAGTTTTCAGCTGCGCCACCAAAGGCACTTCGGATGACGAAATGACCCTGTTTTTGTCCCTGGAAACGCCTGATAACCTCTGTAGTATCAAGGTCGATCAGCTGTATCTGACCTTCAGACAGGTTCACAAGCATATAGCGGGAGTCTCTGCTGACAGCGACAGAAGTGGGCTTGCTCTTCAATGCGAGACAATATTCCTCCTCGTGAGTCGCAAAGTCATAAACATGAATTTTTTCCTCGACATCCGCAGCGATCAGTCGGCGTCCGTCGGGAGTGATGGCGCAATCTTGAACCCTGAAGCCACCATGCCATGTATACAGGGGATCGCCTCGCATGCTCCAGTGGCACAGTTGAGAGCTCAAATCAAGAGAAGCGGTCACAAAGGACTCTCCATCTGCAGCCCATACAGCAGCCGTTACGGGCTGCCGGTGGTGATTGATGGTCAGAAGGCAGCGGCCGGTCTGTATCCAAGTTTCAGTTAGACATGATAGACGGGCGCAGAGATTGATGAAGACATCCATACCTCCACACTCCAGACGCGGGCTTTTTTATCCTGGGAGCACGTGATGAGCTTTGTATCATCCGGACTCCAACTGACGTGGGCAACACCCTCCTCGTGCTTCTCCAACTGCCGGTACACAGAAAAGTTGGTAGTGTCGTAGATGTATACGTGACGGTCCCGCCCTGCTGTGACCAACTTTGAGCCGTCATGGGAAAATTGGCAATACCAGACCTCATCTGAATGCTGACTTAGTTCGACTCCGGTTCGAAGCGGAAAATCATTTCTATCGCACATGTGATCCGAATATAGCGACGGAGGGGTCGCAGTATTATGATATAAGCAGTGGTTTATTTGATTTTGCTTGACATGATTCAGCAAAATCGCGAGACGGTTGTTTGGAATCATCACGGATGGGGATATGGACTCTGAAAGGTAATCAGCACTATGGTCGTCAAACGCGCACGGAGGTAAATTTTTTGTACTTACTTGAAAGTTCAGATAATAACCGCTCTCGAGAAGAACTTATGGGCCCGTCCCAGCCGGCTTGGTTATGAAGATGCTCAGGAGGACACATCAGCAAGCTATAAGTCCGATCAGTACGACTGAAAATGAATGGCTAGGGCGGGTGCTCCTTCTGGAACTCACCTCGAAAGGGCATGAAGTCGCCCAACGTCATAGTTGAGGGGGGTCAGTTCGTGCCGAAGCACGGTCAAGGCCGAGCCAAGGTCTCGTGCTTCTAACAATTCGAGGAATTTTTGTTGCCGTAGATAGAACAGCATCTCATTCTTCTCAGCATTTTCCACCAACAGCAGCTTCTCTGTGGTTGCAGATTTCCCAGAGCTGAAGCTTGTATCTCGCACGTCTGCGTCAGGGGTGAATGATTGAATCAGGATATTCTCCGCCTCAGCCCAACGCCCCTCAAGAACTGCCTTCCTGAATATACCAACTGCCGGACTTTCCAGCTGATAGCCGCTTTCCATGGAAAGTAGAGAGGCTGCTCCGTCGTATCCAAGCTCATACAGACTTTGTATCAGTATCCTAGTCACTTCTTCTCGGTCGTGCCCGAAATAGGAGGAAGGCTTCTTTAATGTTTTCGAGGAACCATTCTTCTGAGACTCGCCATTGGAGGAGGGGTGTGCTGGCTGGCTGTTGGAAGAGTGAGCGAAGACTGTCTTCCGCGACGGAGATGCACTCAGGCCGTTTGACGCTTGTGAGAAGCCGTTCGCAGTCGAGATACCATCGGGCCGCATGTTTGCCAGGCGCCTGCGCTTGGGGGATGGTGGGGTTTCTTCCGGCGAAGTGTGTGACTGAACGGAGCTCTGTTCCTGAATCCCGGCCTCTCTAGGCGTATAATTTCCCGAAAGACCTCCTGTTCCCCCAGTGAAAGCGGATGTATCGATCGTGCTGAAACGACGACGCTGGCGAGGAGCGGATGCAGAAGAATTTTCAATAGAAGCTGCTGTACTGTTACTCCCCGCACCTGACTCTAAGCGTGATGACGATGTGATGCCGTCTGTAGAGCTCCTCGGAGGAGGAACGGAAGTAAGTGACGTGGGCTCGAGTGGGATAGGAAGGTTGGGGCGGTCGGGAGCGGCGGAGGAGGGTGTATCAGAGGAAGAGTTGTCTGCCAGGTCGAAGATTGGTAGATCTGCCCTTCCTCCTGGCTCTGGAGCAGAACCAGGCGAGCAGACCTGAACCAGTGGCGGGTTCACCGATACTCGCCGGGAGCTTCAGTTTCACGTGAAGGAAGCTTGTCACAGGAAGTCAAGCTCGACTATTTCCTGTAAGGCTGAAACTGGGGTATTGGTGCCTTTATGAGAGAGAAATCCAAGTTGTATCGTTATCTGAGCAAAGAGTGAAGAGCGTCGATCGTAGACTCGATGAGCGGAGGTCTTATCGGGGCCTGAGAGTGAGGAGCACAGCAAGTCCGGGGGAGGGGGAGCCCAACGGGAGCGGTGACGAAGGGGGCACTAAGGAGCTGGAGAAGATGGCTGGTTGATAAGCTCGAATGCACGAAAACAAATAACCCCAGCGAAGGAGGAAATACGTTGCAACGAGAGGCGAGGATGGAATAAGAAACCGAGTCAGTGAAGGTTGAGGTTGAAGTTGAAGCGTCGGCGGCTGATCTCCTCGTTCGTCGTGGGGCGATGACAAGTGACTCTACGTCTTTTGGGGCCGAGTAATGGCCATCTACCACGATTCTGATCAACTGGGGAATGTCTACACAATACCTTATGGACTGCTTTTTTTAAAATTACACATTTGATCTCGAGGTTATGAGCTCCATTTTGTAATAGAGAAGGAGCTCATGTTCTCTAATGTTGCCGTTGGAGACACAGTCCGGCATATTTGCGGGAAAAGACGCATCATCATCCATCCTAGGGCTTTCTGATCTCAATACCTTTGAATCCTCAACATTCAATCTTCTTATTTGATTCACTGCCCTCAGAAGTTGAGATAACTGCTCTGAGCCAGCCGGACCAACAAAGGCAGGCTCAGGGATGGCAACGGTCGGAAAGGATCTTGAACAAAAGCACCTGGATCATCTGAACAGAATCACCGCTGATAAGCTGCAGCTGACTATCCAAACACTGATATCACGTTGAAGATAACACCTCTGGTCATCGATAGGTGATACAGGAAAGGGCTACGGATATTCAAGGGGATGATGGAGCTCATCGGCACAACGCATCAGCTCCCCACTGCATGAATTGCCTCGATTGCCTGTTTGTCCGGTCACGTCGCGTCGTTCTCCATCTGATTTGCTGCTGATGATTGTTTCAAACGTTCCTGAATAACGTTTCTTTCATGTTGGGCAATGCCCAAGTCCATTTTATTGCCTTTTGGGTTTCCACCTTGCCATCAAATCCACCATTGTATGAATCATCGATGAACTAACTATGAGCAACCCGCGAATTTCCCATTCCCTCAGGAAAATTTCAAGCCATCTGGTACCGCTTCAGCATACCCAGGTGGACTGTACTATTCTTGAGACAGAGAGACAGACATCTCCATTTACGGATGGATTTTCTCTGGCAACTTCTACTATACCCGACCCCACTTGCTACCCTCGAAGAAGGCAAAACAAACCGAGTCAAATCGTC